TATCCACCGGTGAGGAGGGGACACTGTGCGGGGCTTTTGGCTGCTCTGTCCCCAGTGAAATGTGCCACCAGACTGGTTCCTAACTCCAGTATTTAATGCTGCTGAAAGCTGCTTAAGATTTGAAAACATTCTACTAATGTAAGCACATCAGTAATTTTCCCATTAACTCTCCTGACCGTTACAATTTCAGTAAGGTATTTGGTGGTTCTGGGAAGCAGGATTATCGTTTGAATAAGCAGTGTCTGTCCAGGAGCTCTTCTCCAGAGCTTTGCAAGACACAAGCACGTTTTAATGTGTGTGTGCAAAGGGTTCTAGGCTGATGTGGTCGTGGAGTTTATTCCAAGCAAATAGTTTAAAGCAATTCAAATGACTGTGAATTGCCAAAGGAGTTTCGTTCAGAGCAAAAAAACAAAGAGTGGTGTTAAAGCAGAAGCTTGCAGGCCTATAAAGACAGGTGTGGCTCATCAAGTCAGGAAGCTGAGCCTGTGTTGATTTGTCACACAACATTGGCAGGCCAAGCTGAATTCGTAGAAAGGGTTGTGTGTTGCAGTTATCAACACTGTCATCATGAATATTGGAACATCTTAGACTATCTGGTGAAATATTTGTCCCTGCCAGGCATGGAGATGAAAGCATGCTTGTTAAAGGGATAATAGGAGCTCAGATATAGCCGGGTGGATATACAATGAAACCAACTAAAAGAGAATGCCAAGGAACAAGAGGCATCAGTCCCTGCCAGACTAGGAAATGGTAAATGCTTCCCAGGAATTCGACTAACTTAGTTCCATTTATTCAAAAACCAGAGAACAGAAGTCCTCTCCTGAGTTTGCTTCTCTTCCTTTTTCTGTTCCCCTCTCATTGCATTTATATACACTCATTCATTTTGTTGTTATAGCATGTGATTTGGGACAGGAGCTCAGGTATTGGCCATCTGCATTGCAGGGGAGCATCCTCACTTTCTGGATTCTTACATTTTCACTCAGTGAATATTTACTTATGCAAAACAAAACAGGTCCAGCTGGGATAGCTGCACGTTTTCTGTGGGTTTTCCATAATCTTGATGGTTAATACTCTCACTGAGTGCAGGAGATCTGTATTTATTAGGAAGCTCTAGAGATGACAAAGTCATCTCCCAGTGCAGGTCTGTAAATGAGGGGTTATTGGGTAGAAACTGAGAGGAAAAATAATCTTTATTTTTCTGAAATGGAAGATGCCAGTGTTGGAGAAATCAGGTTTCTGGACAGCGATTCCAACTGAATTTCTCTCGGCAGGGGTTATTACGTCCGTGCCCGTGCTGTAGATCACTGTGTCCAGGACTTCCTGCTGAAGACACAAAGCCACCCTAGGACACAGGTGCGTTTTCTCTGGGGGTACTGGCAAGTTCCACTAAATGAAAAGTCCTTCTGGCATCTGGGCACTCCAGTAACTCGTTGGTGCATCTGTTAGGATCCTTTCCCAGGAGGGCACAAGAGAATCTTGACTGGCACTACTGTGGATCTCCATGTGTCACTTTGGCAGAAATATCTGGAAGAGGGCAATATCCACACAAAATTCTTCTGCCTCTTGCAGGATTTTGCCTGATTTTGTCACTCTGCAGATAATATTGAATATTTTTCACACCTAGATGCTCAGGATGCTGTTAGAGTTGAGCATAACTTTTTCTGACACTTTCTCTGCAGGTCCTGTCTTTGGGTGCTGGCTTTGACTCCTTATACTTCCGTTTGAAGGACGTGGGTCTTCTGCATCACACTGTGGTATATGAGGTGGATTTTCCAAACGTGATGTGCCAAAAAGCTACTCTGATCAAAAGAATGGAAGAGCTGTCAGCACTGGTGGGAGACACTGCAGGGGAAGGATTAGGTGTGGTATTTATGGAAGGTTTTTTAGGTACTAAATGTTTAGAAGAGACAAACATACCTTCAGCTTTCAAAAAATGGGAGATGATAGTGGGGGAACTATGAAGCTGGAAATGAAACGCATGTTCATTTTATGAAAAACATTGAAACAAATAATTTTTAAGCATTTGGAGATAACAAGAAGTTGCCAGGGTGGATTTGTCAGGAGCTGATTGTACCAAACCAAGATCCGTTCTTTCTGTTGCAATTTCTGAAGTCCTGTGTCCAGGTTTGAGCTCATTGGTACAAAGACAGTGGCAAACTTCAGCATGTCCAGTGGGAGGTGATGAGGGTGATGAAATGATGGAGCAGGTGATGTTGGAGGGGAGCTGAGACAATTGGATTTGTTTAGCCTTAAGGGGAGGAGGTTGCAAGGGAGGTGAATCCTACTGCAGTCTTCAGCTACCTGTTGGGAGAGGGTAGAAAAGTTGGAGCCAGACTTTTCTTGGAAGCACAAAGCAAACAGTCAAGGGGCAATGGTTGAAAGTTGCTTTGTTAATGACTGGGTTTTGGTTGAAAAGGTCAACAAACCATAGCTTATCATATTCTGGTGGAGTACAGAGATATGATAATACTTGCAGATCATAAACTGGAACTTGTGAGGATGAAGATCTGTGAGTCAGGGCCTGGTGTTTGCAGAGCTGGCATGTGTGAGTTCAGGACTCAGTGCCATTGTACAGAAGTGAAATCTATTTAGCAAACCAAGCCTAAGAAACTTGAGAAGAGTTTTCTGGTTGTGAGGCGAACCATTTGAATTCTATCAAAACAATGGTGCTTTCTTAGCCTAAACTAAAAGGTGTATAAATGAGAGTCCTTAAGGTTTGATTCTGAATTACAGTGGTTCTAGAAAAAAGTTCTTAAAGTAAATATGATGAAGTTTTGTTGTTATAGTAAATGTAATAATTCTATGAGAAATCTGTAGGTGAAATTTGCATTAGGAATAACAAGAGTTTTAGATCTGCATTTAATGGATCATTTGGCACTATCCCTTCATGGTTCAGGTAGTAATGGGGATTTTCATGTACATGTCCCAGGGAAATAGAGTTGATAGACACAGCCTTATGAGTGATTGCCTGTGGGTTTTATTTTCCTGTTTATCCCTTTTGCTTTCATTATTGCAGCAGCACTGTAGTGAGATTGCATCGTTTTTGTCTCCCAGGAGCCATTACCTTTTCTGGAGAGGATTATAAATTACTGGGAGTGGATTTGTCAGAGCTGTCTGAGCTGGGGAGAGCCCTGGAGGAAGCAGGACTGGACAATGAAATCCCCACCCTCTTCATTGCAGAGGTGGTGCTCACCTACATGGAGAACAGCAGGTCAGTTGGGTTCTCCTCCCGTATCCATCACCTTGGGCTGGGAGACCTGCTCTCTTAAAACTAAAGCCTTGGGAATTCTGTGGAGTCCCAAATAGCTCCTTGTATCATCACTGTGATGGTGTAATTGATGTCCCTGTGATATCCTAAAAGGGAGGGAAGAAAAAAGAAAAATCTCAAATGAGTGATTTTGTTCTCTCAGAGAATTTTTTTGTTCTTCTCATCCCCTCATTGTCTGTGCAGATGGGGAGGAGATGCTCCTAAGTCCCCAGTACAGCACTCTCATTTGTGTATTGCCATTTATCAGGATGCCTCAATAGCAGCTTCGTGGTGTTGAAGGAAGATGTACTGCATCTGTGTGGTGATGGGGGAGCCCTCAGTTATTTAATGTCTTACACACAGCCTCCCCACAGGTCAGATGCCTTGATTCAGTGGGCAGCAGAGCGTTTCCCTCGGGCCTGCTTCCTGCTGTACGAGCAGGTGCACCCAGAGGACCCCTTTGGACATGTCATGCAGCAGCATTTCAGCCAGCTGAACTGTGCACTTCGCTCTCTGGCACAGTACCCTGACTGTGAGGCACAGCAGAGGCGCTTTTTGGGGAGGGTAAGCACCTGCTTCTCTAGGGCATGCACAAAGCATGACTGACCTGATAAAGATTGGAACTCTGAGCGCTTGGTCAGTGACAGGTTGAAGAAACAGGGCTGAGGCACTGCCTTCTCTAGTAGCACGACTAGTCATTTGAAAATGCTTCCAACCAGCTTGCAGCTTACTTTCTGATACAGGATTAAGGTATGATGAGTTCCTCTGAGACTTTTGTTGTAATAAATTAAGTTCTTAAGAGCTTTAGAGATAAGAAATCTATTTTCACCAGATTTTGGGCTGCTGTTACTTCAGCTAGACAGTCTTAACAACTCATGCAAGTGTTTAATTTGGGGTCTTTATTTTCTTATGGGAAGTGAGTTTCTGTCCTTCCAGAGGTGATTACTTTGAAGGATTTCTCTTTTAGGGCTGGACTGAGTGCAGTGTCATGGATATGAATGAGTTTTTCACCTGTTGTATTCCAGAAGACGAACAGCAAAGAGTGCAGGCTCTGGAGCCTTTTGATGAGTATGAGGTAATTCTCCTTTATTCTAAAGATGAGCAACCTGGTTTTGATGCCATAAGGTGTCTGCAGTTTCTCATGGTCACAGTTCTGTACAGGGCTACTGGGGCACAGGTGTTCATGGAGGCAGAAAGGACCCTGGTCTAGCTTGGTTAACACAGAGGCTGCAGGGAGCTCCAGATAAAGCTGGGGCAAGGAGCATGGGAAGAAGGCTCTCCTTGATGTTAGAAAAGCTTTATGTTCATTCCTCAGTGAGTGATCTCTCAAGGAGACAGTCTTGCCATAGCAAACCAGCTGGTAGTATGAAAGATGTTTTAGATGCTAAAAGTTTGCATGGATTCAAGGGGCAAGTACTTTGATGAAAGAGAAATACATTAAGGATTATACATTAAGGATTACTGACTACATAAAAACACACCTGATGTGAGGTTCCTGACTGCAAGTGGTTGGTAGCATTCTTGGGGAAAGTAGATGCACTTGTCCTGCTCTTTTCCATTTCTGTAGACTACTTTATATTTTGTCATTGTCGGATACAGGCTACTGCAGATGTTTTTTGGTCTGACTTTGTACAGCCATTCCTGTATTAATGATTGAAATTCAACTATGACTTTATTCTTTGCCATTTTTATGTTAACTGCTGGCAAAGTTTCTGACTATTTGAAATCTAGAAGTGAAGGTAAGTGCAAGATAGTGAGTAACTTTGAGCTAAGTATTCTGTGAATACTGTGAAATGCTTACTAAAAGTTTCCCTTTTGATTTTGTGGTTCCCTGCTTATAATTCTAGAAATCTAATTGCTGCAGTATGAAAATAATTTAACATGCTTGCATTTATTTTGCCAACATGCAGGATCTGCTCTGCTACATGAATGCAAAAGTAATGACTGAAAGAGCTGGCAGATTTGCAAAGTGGTTTAGAAATGTGTACAAGAATTGTTGTAGATCAAGGCTATTGCTCATACAGTAGGAAGGTAAAGACTTGGTATTGTTGTTGGAAACATGCATGGGAATAAATGATGTGATAACAGAGAGCTCTACAGTTAGCCTTTGAGAGAAAGATTAAGATCCAGGTCTTACTGTAAACAAGCTTGGTCAAATTAGGTAAGAAATGTAAACTACAGACTTAGTGCTGAGGGAGACATTTTTGGAATAATTTGCCTAGGGACTAATAGTGGATCCTTCCATTTTCAGTATTTACATTAATTTCTGGATACCACTTTTCAAAAGATGCTTTTTACTTCTAGTAGAGGCTGGGGCAATGATGCTGATAATGGGGTTTATTTTGCCTTTTAAATTCATGTTTATGCTTTGTAGTTGTATAGTTGGCTGAATATATCCCGCCCCATGGGAATGGACACAGTCAATTCCCTAATGTCCATAAAGGCCAGGGGGACTCCTGTATATTCCTGGTGCTTGTGCTTCTGCCTCAGAATGATTCCAAGGCCAGACTGAAAATTATGTTTCTGTATTATCATTCAGCACAGACCATGTTGCATGTCTGACCATTTGTGATTTCTTTGGAATCACTTATATTCCATGAACCTTAAGAAACCTTAATCCTTCTGATATAGAGCCCTCACTCTTTCTGTGATCGGAATTGGGAAGCATAAAGGGAAACTGATTCCAAAAAGAAAAGCTTCCTCATGCAACTTATAGTTAAGCTATGGAACTTGTTCCTACAGCGTGTGGGAACAACACCCTACAGCACGCTGGACATGTTAAAAGTTTATGTGAGTTCAAAGAGCAAGTGGACGCATTCATGGATGAGAAATCCATCAAGGATTGTTCAATAAAAAGACACAGCTTCTTGCTTAGAAGATCACTGAGCTGTAAATTTTTGAAGATTGAAGTGAGGAATGTATTTACACACCTTCTCTTTCTCAGATTCAGCCTTAGACCTCTGATTTTGACCCCTGTTGGAAACAGTGCAAGACTGGGTTGGTATTTGATTTGATCACCCTGGCTGTTCCGAGATCCTTACTGCTTCTTGCTCTAAGATTTTGAGGGGGATTGTTTTATGGTTTTGTTTTTTCTTTCTTTTGGACTTGCTACAGGAATGGCATCTGAAATGTTCTCATTACTTTGTGTTGACTGCATCAAAGGGGATGGAACCTTCCTGGACTCCGTTGTTACCCAGTGTGACAGGTACAGTCCGACTAATTTTTACAGTATTTTTTTATCTCATGCAGGTTATTCTGAGAGGTTTTAGGAGACAGTGAAGCTCTGGAAGGGGCAGATGGGATGCTGCTGTCTGGTAGCTTTCTTCACCCTTTTAAAAATACTGTTCAGGGCCACAGCCTGACACTGCTGGTTCTGATCAGTTCCATTCTTTCAGTTTATTGAGCTTTTCAGTCTGAACAGCACCTCCTTCTGTATATACCTAGCCCCCACCCCATACATGCCAGCCCACCCTGCTCTTCCTGCTGTTTTTGGGATCTCCCCTTTGAAGTTATTCCTGCTTGCCTCCATACATGGCTCTCTGAACCATTCTCTCCTTCTGGCTCCCAAAAGGGTGTTCTGTTTTCCTTACTACCCTGTCCATGAGAGCACTCAGGAGCCTCTCATGAAGCTGTGCTTTGCTTTGTTATCCCATGTGGGTGGAATTGTACCTGTAGTATTTCTGTTTGTGAAATGCTTTTAAATCTGTATGTCACTTTTTTTTAGATGGGAGAAAAGTGGTACAGCTGGGGAAAAGCCAAGACCAAGACTCTGTTTCCATGATAAGGATTTGGCAGCAGTAGCAGTCCAAAAAATTCCTGCTTTTAGCTGCTTTCTTTCTTTTTCAGGGTGGAAAGCAGAAGGTTATTTTTAACCTGTTTCATATCACTAGTCTTCACAGATGGGTACCACAAGTAGTTCTGTCTGCAACAGAAAGTTGAAGTCTGTGTTTTAGGGAGCAAGAAAAGCAACTGAAAAAGGATAGGGCAGGATGGCATTTCTGAGGCCAGCAAGGCCACTGAATCCAAAGTCCTGTGTCTTGATTAGATCTGAAAACATGAAATGTGAAATTGAAGCTAAATGAATGTGCCTGTGGTTACATATACTGTGTGATTGTCACTGGTCCTTGGGAGGCTTTAAATCCTTAAAGGCTCCTCAATGTGTAGTATCTATCCTTAAGTTAAAGTCCCTTTGCTTAATGGACTTTATTGCAGTCAAGACACTTGATTCATTAGAGACAAGTAGAGTCTTTCTGCTGCTGTCCCTGTTGTATTCAAATCTGATAGCAGAAGCCTTCAAAGTCTGATAAATGTTCACGATCAGATATTTTTTACTGTGAATGCAAAAGGTATGTCTCTAACGCCAGTAAATGCCCCCAGTTATCCTCTCGGGTAGATTTGAGTCCCTGTTCAAGAGAGTGCAAGTACTAAATCTTCGAAACAGATCTTGGTAAATATATTTTCTGATATGAAAAAACTCCTCAGTCTTAAAAAGATCCATCTTTAGAAAGACATTTAAGCCCAAGGAGATTAAATTTCTTACTTCATCAAATGATAAAGTAGGGTCTTGTAGTAAACAATGTTCAGTACAGACAATTTTTCTGAATATGGCATACAAAAAATGGACTGAGAGCCACTTCCCCTTCACCTCATCATCTCTAATAACAGAAGAATAAAGCTCTTGATTAAATCACAGAAGATGCAAATTCCAAACTGATTAAAAGAAAACAACGTGTACAATGTGTTGGTGAGCCAGAGTCCTGTGCTGAGAGTTTGTTTTGTGTTAAGGGGTATAGTATTTAGAGAGAAGGTATTTAGATAACTGGAAATATTCTCTTATAGTAGGACCATTGGAATTAATGTAGATCATTTGTCATGCTTCAGAACTTTATTTCAATGCTTTGTGAAGGTAGGATCAAAATCTAGCAAGAAACTTTGAAATCAGCTTCCTGGCTTTTGTCCTTTTTCTGCTGTTCTTTGCCATTCATGTAGCCAAATATTGTCTTAACCAGACAGGTGCTCCTTTTGAAGGCATTGCAGTGGTTCATTCTTGCTGCAGCAGCTTAGGACACTGCAGGCTCTTGGCCAGTCTTACCTCCACCCCATGAAAGCAGTCTCAGAACTGTAAGGAGCTGAGTGAGCAGTAAGTAGAAGTTAAAGTTGGCACAGTGATAGTTTTAACCATTACAGGATGATTTATAGGGCATGTCAGATTGTCTGTGTGCTCTGTCAACTTGCTTCTCAATTTTTGCTTCTCGAAAAGATCATCTTGAAAAGATGGTGTACATTATCTCTCACTTGGTTTGTGTTTGTGCATAAGTTCTTTGGTTCTCTTTGTCTTACAGTTCCTCATCGTGCTGCTCCTGTTGGAATGGCTGGGAGTGTCCCTGCAGCAGTGTGTGCAAGGCTCTCAGGAATTCCTGGCCTGAGACGTTACGGTCACCGCTCTGTTCTTATAAAACCCGATGTGATTCTCACCACTGGAGGCTTTGGGGAGGAGGATGGACAACACTGTCGCCTGAGAAATTTCCATGTGCTGAGTAAGCATGCAGGCTACTGGAAAGCTGGCTGTGTGACAAAGAAACATCCTGATAAAAGATGGGGTGAGTTCTCACGCTGATGGCAAGTGTAAGGGAGATACCATTGTGCTAAAAGTGAAAGAATGTCTAGAAAAAGTGGTGTCTGAGCACAGTGATGCTGACAGTCACAGAGATCTGAAGGTTCTGAATTCTAAATGCTGGGTCCTGCTCTTTGATCACCACAACTCCCTGCAGTGCTCCAGACTGGGGGCAGAGTGACTGGAAAGCTGGAAAAGGACCTGAAAGTGTTGATTGACGGGGGCTGAACATGAGCCCAGGTGGACAAGAAGGCCGGTGGCACATGGCTGGTACCAACCATAGTGTGGGCACAGGCCGAGGGCAGGAATTGTCTCCCTGTGCTGGGCACTGCTGAAGGCCCCTCAAGTGCTGTGTCCAGTTCTGGAACCTTATGGAAGAGAGACATTGAGGGGCTGGAGCGTGTCCAGGGAAGGGAACGGAGCTGGAGTCATAGAATCATAGAATGGTTTGGGATGGAAAGGACCTTAAAGATCATCTAGCTCCCACCATCTGCCACGTGCAGGCACACCTTCCACTATCCCACGTTGATTCAAGCCCCATCCAACCTGGCCTTGGACACTTCCAGGGATCCAGGGGCAGCCACAGCTTCTCTGGGCAACCTGGGCCAGGGCCTTCCACCCTCACTGGGAAGAATTCCTTCCCAATATCCCATCTAACCCTGCCCTCTGGCAGTGTGAAGCCACTCTCTCTTGTCCTGTCCCTCCAGGCCCTCATCCAAAGTCCCTCTCCAGCTTTCTTGGAGCCCCTCTGGACACTAGGAGGGGCTCTGAGGTCTCCCTGGAGCCTTCTCTTCTTGAGGCTGAACAGCCCATACTCTCCCAGCATGGCTCCAGAGCAGAGGGGCTCCAGCCCCATAATCAACTTAGTGGCCTCTGGACTTGTTCCAACAGCTCCCTGTCTTTATTGTGCTGGGGGCACCAGACCTGGACTGCAGGTAGGGTCTCACAAGAGCAGAACAGAGGGGGAGAATCACCTTCCTCAACCTGCTGCCCATGCTTCTTTTGATGCAGCCTGGGACATGGTTGGTTTTTCTGGGCTACAAATGCGCACTGCCAAGTCATACTGAGCTTTTTGTTCACAAACACCCCCAAATCCTTCTCCCCAGGGCTGCACTGGTTCTCTGCCCAGCCTGTATTTGTACTGGGATTGCCCTGACTCAAGGGCAGGACCTTGCACTTGGCCTTGTTGAACTCCATGACACTGGCACAGTCCTGCCTCTCCAGCCTGTTTAGGTCCCTCGGGATGCCCCATCCCTTCCCTTCAGCCTGTGTCTGCACCACACAGCTCCATGTCATCGGCAAGCATGCTGACAGTGCCCTTAATTTCATTGTCCCTGTCACCAGCAAAGATGTCAAACAGTACTGGTGCCAGTACTGACCCCTAAGGGACACCACTCACTGCTGGTCTGCACTTGAACACTGAGATGCTGACTGTGACTCTCTGAGTGAGACCATCCAGCTAATTCCAAAACTGCCAATAGTCCATCTGTCAAATCCATGTCTCTCCAGTTTAGAGACCGGACATTGTGCTCAAGCAGTGTCAAACGCTTTGTACAAGTCCAGGTAGATGGTGTCTGTTGCCCTTCCCTCATCCACCACTCCTGTAATCCCAACGTAGCAACAGCTGAGGGAGCTGGGGGGACTCAATCTGGAGAAAAGGAGGCTCAGGGGGGACCTTCTCACTCTCTGCAACTCCCTGACAGGAGGGGGGAGCTGGGGGGTGATCAGGCTCTGCTCCCAGGGAACAAGGGACAGGACAAGAGGAAACAGCCTCAAGCTGTGCCAGGGGAAGCTCAGGTTGCATATGGAGAAAAATGTCTCCAAGGAAAGGGTTGTCCATGCCTGGCACAGGCTGCCCAGGGCAGTGGTGGAGTCCACATCCCTGGAAGGATTTAAAAGCTGTGTGGATGTGGCACTTGGGGTCATAGTTTAGTTGTGACCTTGACATTGCTGGGGGAATGGTTGGACTATGATCTTTTCCAACCTAAGTGATTCTGTAAATTTCTTGGAAAAGACATCCGTGTGAACCGTGGCGTTTTGTGTCTCTGCAGGTGAGCGGTTGTACCATACTGTGTCCTGTCTCTCAGACAGTCTGGCCCTGGTGGTAGGAGGACGAATGTCCCCATCAAATGCAGGTTTGGGAATGTTGTGGCTAAAGTTCCCCGAAACCTATAATGCTTCAGACCCAGATGACATTGCAGTGGAGCTTGTAAATCTGCAGCCTGCTGCTGAACCAGCAACTTTGCGTTGGAGACACAGCACAACTGAAGTGACATTCAAAGGTAAAAAGCCTGGAAAGAGTGGAAATGGCCATAGATATGCAGGACCTTGTACTCAGTCTTGTTGAACTTCATATTGACCCACTTCTCAAGCCTGCCAGTAGGAATGAAATTAAAAGAGGCTCTGAGATCTTGGCACTTGAAATGCAGTAATTTTATATTTCATATGCTACATAACCCCCAGTGGTAAGTGGAATTGAAACCTAGGGATGTAATCTGTTCTGGAAGACTGATTCTTTGAGATCATTTATGGCTGAAGTTATTCATTCTTGATCACACCAGAAGGAAGTTTTGCTATCTCCAAAGGATATTTTTTTTGAGCAGAATTCCTAGCTCTTTATCCAGAAGTGCCTCAGAAGTGTTACTTTTCTACTAGGAATTGACAAAGTAGTTGTGAATGGCTCTAGAATCAGGTCCTGCAGTAGCAAGCTGAAGGTTGGCCTAGTAAAAGATCCTGACTGTAAGGGGCAAAAACTTAAGCATTCAGGAGGTGAAAGCTGTCCTTTCCTAAGCTGTCCCATTCCTGCCAGTGGACAGGGAGCTCTCCAAGGAGAGCAGAAGGGAACTGTTAAGCAATTGGTAGTCTAGTCTGGAGCATACTTTCCATTTGTGGAACAATGTTTAGTTAAAAGTGTGATGTAGTTTAGAGCTCAGCCTTCCAGTCAGAATTTTGTATCAAAGAAGCAAATGTGAAATGGGTAAGTAAAATTTTATAAATATTATTGTTTTTGTCTTTGTCAGACTGTATTGTTTCATCTTATTTTTGCCTTGATGTTGCTTTGTAGCTGAAGGAAGCGACCAACCCTGGTGTTGTCGACACAGTCCATTCTCAAGGAGTGAAAGGACAGGGCATAGTGCAGTAAATGCACATCCTTGACATCTATCCAAAGACGTTTGCACCCTTTTTAACCTCCTTTTTGAGGCTTCTCCATATTAACAAATACACATTCGTGTTATTATCAGTTTTCCTGAGATGAATAGATGTCCTTGAGCTGCTGTGATTTAGATACTTAGTGTTTTCTAGTTTTATTAGTTCTACAGGAGTCACTTTTCCATTGCCTAGAGTTCCATTCCCTGAGTCTATTAGGTATATTGGAAAGCATGTTTTCCCCTCTTCATTTTGAGACTAGGGTGTGTGATTTCCGTTCCTTAAACATTCCAGACCGTAACCATTCAGCAGCTACATAATGTAAGTGGATGATGTGATCTTCTGAATGACCACAAACATGAAGAGTGCAGGTTCTTAGAGTGTTTAGGATGGTCATGTGCAGGGCTAAGGGTGGGACTTGATGATCCTTATGGGTTCCTTCCAACTCAGCATATTCTGTGAATCTGTGATTCCATGTGTCTTATAAAAGATCTAGGTACAAGAGTAGTTCCAGTATCTGTGAAACAATTTCTTGTATTTATTGATGAAGTCTGGTGTTGTTTCTCAGGTTGCAGGATGTCTTCTAGAAATAGTATATAGAGCTTCTGCCTGACTGCCTTAATTTCTGTCTTCAGTCAACTTCCCTTCTGTGTAGACAGAAATTTTTGCTTTGGTGACATACCAAATTCTAACTTCCCTTTTCACCTGGTTGTCTGTTTCTGTAGGTGAACAGTACCTGTTTGTGTATGGGGGCCGCTCTGCTCTGGAGCCTGTGCTTGGGGATTGGTATTTCCTGCACACTCGAGAACTCTCCAACACTGTGGTAAGAATGTACTCCATGGTGATTCAAGTTAGAGCTGACTTCTAAACATCCTGCTTTTTACTGGAATACAATCTTCACAGACAGTCCTTGATGACCCTGATAGTACAATGTGAGGGGTTGTATGTTTAAGTGGATTTCTTTGTATGCCAGTTTGTGCCCATGGCCTTTTGTCCTGTTGCTGGATGCTACTGAGAACATTCTGTCTCTGTCTTCTTTGGCCTCTCGCATCGTAGACTTATCTAGCTGTATGCCGGACATTTTTGCAGAAGAATACTGTTAGAGACAGTATAAAAGGCTTTGCTAAAATCAAAACCACTCCCACATCTGCTGTCTTCCCTCAGTCAACTAGATTGCTGAACGTGTCATAAAAGGGAATTGAGTTAGAGGACTTCCCCTCTCATGAACTTACTGGTGACTGGCCACCAGCCTGGTATAACCCCATTTACTCCGAGTGTTTGAGCCCAACCTTTTACGTAGCACAACCATAGGGTGAGAGATGCATAACTGTAGGAGCTCACGAGCTAAACATGAGTAAGCAATATCATGGTGTTGTGGGAGGCCTAAACTCTGTCTTCAAATATGTAACCAGGACTGTTATCTGTAAGCCACATGAATTGCTCCTTTTATTTTCTTCAATGTTCCCAGCAGAATTCTTGTAAAATACCCAAAGCTGATTGCTGAAAAAGAGATGGACAGGGTGCAGTACAGCTGTATAGAGGTATACGAGAGTAACCACATACCTCACAAGGGAAGGTTTTGAAGGACTTGGAGAAGATTCAAGATAGAAATAAATCTTCAAATATGTAAAATATCACTGCAGAGAAGACAAAAAAATTGCTCTCCATTTTTACTTTGAGTAGTGCAGGGAATCAACTGGACCCTAAGATAAGCTATTGATTGTGGAGTTAGGCTAGCCAAGTGCTGCAACAGACTGCCTAAAGAGGCAATAAATTCTTGTCACTGCAGACTTTCAGAAGCTATTATATAAACATCTATGCAGATGATAATAGATATAGTTTCATTTATTTTAGGGGAAAGGGATGGACAAGGTGGCCTCCGAATTTTTCTCCACCGCTTGCTTGCTATGATATTTCTTTAAACACCTGATCTTACATTTTTTCCTTTAGTACTTGCACTGAAGGGGTTTTTTTCTGCATTTTAGTCCTGCAGTTCAGCCTGCTATCCTGCTCTGTGGTTTGAGCCACTGATCACCTGCTTTGCTGGTCACTGCCATAGTCCATGTGGACTATGGAAATGGAAACAAACTCAGGGTTCTCAGGTGTATCTCTTGAGCAGAAAGCAGCATGCAAGAATGCAGATAAAGTTACCTGTAATAAATGTGCAGAAATAAACCCTCTAAAGACTGATTATATTAAATATACTGAGGCCCAGAGAAATATTTGAGATAGTGTAATTGGAAGCACTTGTATTTAGCAGTCTCTAGAGGAACGTGTGGATAAGGTTGGGTGTCAGAAAACTCAACCACAGAGGAAAAAGTCATTTAAAAGCCTGGGCATTAAGAAGACTCTTAGCTTGGCAAACTGCAGCCTTGGACTTGTGTTTTTCTAGATTGCTGTTGACGGTCCAGTCCCAGAAAGCCGCCACTCTCACAGTGCCTGCAGCTGGGAAGGAGGAGCGCTCATCGCAGGAGGTCTGGGAGCAGCTGAGCAGCCCTTGGGTTCAGTTTTCCTTCTGAGGAAGCTTGAACATGGCTTTCAGTGGCAGGCAGTAGAGACATACCCTCCTCTCATCCCAAGGTGAGCAGAATGTGTTTATAACATCATAGAATAGTTTTATTTGGAAGGCACGTTTTAAAGGCTATCTAGTCCAACCTCCCTGCAATGAGCCGGGACATCTTCAACTAGACCAGGGTGCTTAGAGCATTCATCAGTGAATCTTCAGCCTGTCTCTACCAACCTCCCTTACTAATGGGGTTCAATCTCATTTTGAACTCACAGGTATTCACATACTGCACATGTGCATGAAGGAAAGCTTCTGCTCGTTGGCGGAGTGTGGTTTCACGCGTCCTCCGTGCCAGGCATCACTGTCATTGACTTAATGACTGGCCTCTGCTTGGACTATGTGATTAATGTGGTAAGGACCGAAATTTTTCTTTCAATGTTGTATGAAGGAAGATGATAACTTTAGAGCTGTTCCTTGAAACTGAGTAGAGAAAGCAAAGTCGGCAAAGCTGGGAGTGGAATAAACATTCCCTGTTCGAGGTAGAATCTGATTTTGAAGCGCTTTTACCAGTACAGAGAACATAACAGTATTAAGAGAGAGACAGACACTGCATGGCAGAAGACTGGAGGACATAAAGCTGCTCTGTTCTAGACAGGGGCAGTAGAACTGAAATGGGCACAAATCTAGTCCCTTTGGGATACCTGTGGAGGAAGGGAACAGATCAAACCAGAGCCTCAGTGAGTCTTTATGGAGGTCTGCGGTATAATTGCATTGAGAACTTCTTGGTGGAAACTGCAGTGTGTTATAGCTGCTCCCTGGAATACAAGAAAAAACAGCATGGAAATACTGGAAACTCCACTGAAACATAAGAAAAGTTTACTGTAAGGCTCACTGAACACTGAACAGAGAGGCTGTGGTGTCTCCACTATTGGAGATATTCAAAACCTGACTGGGCAGGGTACTGAGCAACCTGCTGTAGTGGAGCCTGCTTTGAAAAGGGGTGGTTGGACTGGATGATGCTCACAGGTCCCTTCCAACTTTAACTGTTCTGTGACTTTCTTCTACGAATCACTGAAGAACAGTCATACAGGTGGTGTCACATAGCAGGATTTTGGCACACTCCGAGCAAAACTTGGTCTGCATGTGTGAGTAGCCCTTATCTCAGATAATACTGTCTGGAGTAAAAGAAAGACGTGCATCTGCTGGAGTGAGTCCAGAGCAGGGCCACAAAGATGATCAGAGAGCTGGAGCATGTTTCCTGTGAGGATATGCTGAGAGAGTTGGGGCGGTTCAGCCTGGAGGAAGAGGGCTCTGGGGAGACCTTAGAGGCCCTTCCAGTGCCTAAAGGGGACTTATGAGAAAGATGGGGACAGACTTTTTAGCTGGGCCTGTAGTGATAGGACAAGAGGTGATAGTTTTCATCTAAAGGACAGTAGCTTTAAACTAGGTATAAGGAAGAAGTTTTTTACAAAGAGTGTGGTGAAGCCCTGGCCCAGGTTGCCCAGAGAAGCTGTGGCTGCCACATCCCTGGAAGTGTCCAAGGCCATGTTGGACAGGGCTTGGAGCAACCTGGGATAGTGGAAGGTGTCCATGTCCATGGCAGGGGGTGGAAAGAGATGGCCTTTAAAAGTCCCTTAAGTCCCAAATCATTCTGTAATTCTATAAGAAAACTTCTGTTGCTTGACAAGTTATTTCTTTTACATAAAGAAACAACTGTCTTTAGATAGCTGTACATATGGAACCTGTCCTTGGTGAAACTGGAATTTGTGACAGGTCACAGTGGACAGTATGTGTGCATCTGACTGACCTTACGGCATGTTCTTGGAGGCATAAAGCATGAAGCATGCTTAAATGCAGCTCAGTTTTTAGTTACTGTCTGTAGCAGAAGTTGTAAGGGGCCTCATATCCTTTAGATAAAATAGGCTGCCCTTGGACAGCAGTGAGGGTGGGTAAGGTGGTAATAAAGTTGTATCTAAAAAAATATAACTTTTTTGTTTACGTTGAATAAGTGGATGCAGGTGGATTGGTAGCTGCCTTTGCTTATGAGCTGTTTGCTTTGGCTTTGGTGAAACTCTTCAGGCTTTTGAACCTACCAGTTCCATAGTAAGCTTTGGAACTCCTTGCCACAGGCCAGGAATGCTAAAGGCTTCCATTGAATCAAAAAGTGACTGGTGTCACCCTTTTCGGAAAGCATTAGGGTTCAAGGATTACCAAGACATTCTCTCCCATCAAAAGCACTGAACTGCAAATTGGGGGGTGGGTGGGTGTACTGGAGGATTACACCTCATGGGTTCCTTGTTCCTGTATTCTCAATCTATCTTTTTGCCCACATTCATGGGTGATACGGTGAACCATGTGAAGTCTTGTATATTGAAAATCTTCTTTCCTTTTTCAGGAGCATCTGGAGTGGCCATTAATGCTACATAATCATAGCAGTGTCTTTCTGCCAAATGAGAAGGAGTTGTTGGTTATTGGTGGTGGTGGTAACTGCTTCTCCTTTGGGACACACCTGAACCCAGAGCCTGTCTCACTGAGCCTCAGCAGCATCCTGACCAGTCACTGACTGGGACCAAGCAGGGCTGAACTGTGCTGCTGCACTGTGGGGAGACATCTATTCACTCAGAGGTCCAAGATTTCCACAAGGGCTTTGTATCCAGAACGCATTTGTGAAGGTGGGATCAGGAGGGACAGTTTAGAGAAAGGGGATCACAGCTCACTGGCCTTTGCTTTTGTACAGCTCTTCCTATTACTATAAATAAAGTGCCTGAGAAGCAGCTGCAGCAGAAGGTCTTAGAGGTGAAGTGAGGGTCAGACTTTGTTCAAAATCTGAACAAAGTCTAACCTGAATTCATAGAACCATAGAATGGTTTGGGTTGCAAGGCAGATCATCCAGTTCCACACCCCTTACATGGGCAGGGACACTTTCCACTATCCCAGGTTGCTCCAAGCCCTGTCCACGCTGGCCTTGGACACTTCCAGGGATGGGGCAGCGACAGTTTCTCTGGGCAACCTGCACCAGGGCCTCCCCACCCTCCCAGGGAAGAAATCCTTCCCAATATCCCATCTAACCCTGCCCTCTGTCAGTGGGAAGCCATTCCCTCTTGTCCTTTCCCTCCAGGTCCTTGGAAATAGTCTCTCTCCATCTTTCTTGTAGGCTCCCTTCAGGTACTGGAAGGCTGCAGTTAGGTCACCCCAAACCCTTCTCCAGGCTGAACAATCCCAGTTCTCTCAGCCTTTCCTCATAGCTGAGGTTCTTCAGCCACATCTGGACTTGGTCCAACAAGGTGATGTCCTTCCTGTGCTGATTCCTCAAGGCTGGAGGCAGCTCTGCAGGTGAGGTCTCACCCAAGGGAACAGAGGGGCAGAATCCCTCCCTGCCCTGCTGCCCACGCTATGGGATTAGCCGAGCACACAAGAGGTTCTGGACTGGGCCATGTCCAGCCTCTCCCCCACCAGCATCCCCAGATCCTTCTCCCAGGACTGCTCTCAATGTGTTTATCCCCCAACCTGGATTAATATTTGGGGTTGCCCTGACCCAGGTGCAGCACCAGCACTTGGCCTTATTGGACTTAATGAGACTCCCATGGGCCCACTTCTTGAGCTTGTTCAGGTCCATCTGGATGGCATCCACTCCTTCAGGATGTGGAGCTGCTGGAGCAAGTCCAAAGGAGGCCATGGAGAAGCTCAAAGTGCTGGAGCCTCTCTGCTCTGGAGTCAGGCTGGGAGAGCTGGGAGTGTTCACCTGGAGAAGAGAAGGCTCTGGGGAGACCTCAAAGCCCCTTCCAGAGCCTAAAGGGGCTCCAGGAGAGCTGGAGAGGGACTGGGGACAAGGGCTGGAGGGACAGGACAAGGGGGAATGGCTTCCACTGCCAGAGGGCAGGGATAGATGGGAGATTGGGAAGGAATCCTTCCCTGTGAGGGTGGGGAGGCCCTGGCACAGGTTGCCCAGAGAAACTGTCGCTGCCCCATCCCTGGAAGTGTCCAAAGCCAGGTTGGACAGGGCTTGGAGAGCAACCTGGTCCAGTGGGAGGTTCCCTGCCTATAGTAGTGAAGTGGTATTTGATGATCTTCAAGGTCCCTTGCAATCCAATCCTGTGATTCCATGATGATTCTCTGACTGACTGCACATCATTTGTTGGATGCAGAGAAATTGTTCACATTTGCTTTGGTTTTCTTCTCACCTTGTTTGTTTTCTCTCTTCTAATATTTTCAGAATTTTTTTCTAGTTACTGAATTGTCTCACCTTATGAGTTTCTTTCTCCCTTTTTTTTTTCCTTACTGAATTGGCAGGGGGGGGTAAAGCACAAAACCCTTTTTCAGCTCCATTGCCCTTCTCCAGACATACTCCAGCACCTCAATGTCTTTATTGTCGTGTGGGGCCCAAAACTGACCCCAGGATTTGAGGTCCGACCTCACCGTGCCCAGCCCAGGGGGATGATCACTGCTCTTGTGTCATGGAGGGTCCTGAAATTGAGATAAACCACCTATTCAAAAGAGATTTATTTGATGAACTAGTTAAACCCAGCAGTTACAGATCCAACAACAGCTGAAAACAGATTCGTGATGTCAAATGGAATTGTTACAACCCAACTGACCTTAGGAATCCCAACGGTTTGAGCAGGACAACCTGGAATGCAGGGTCACTGCCTGAGGCAGCGAGGGCTCTCCCTGGGGCTCCTGGGAACTCCCAGTGTCACAAAGGGGGCCCCACCTGACCTGTGATGTCACAAAGGGGGCTCTGCCTGCCCCATGATGTCATAAAAGGGGCCATGCCTGTCCTGTGATGTCACAAAGGGGGCTCTGCCTGCCCCATGATGTCACAAAGGGCTATAACAGGCCCCAGGACACGGGGCACTGCAGGTGGGCACCACCTCAGCCTCTGCCACCCCAGCAGTGTTGGGATCCCATCACTGGGACCCCGCAGGTCACTGGGGAAGCTCGTCCCCAGCCTGTGCTGGTGACCTGGAGTGGCAGGGATGGTGCCATGAGGTCCCTCGACATGTTCACCATGGGGGAGCTGGTTGCAGTCATGATCCTGGTGCTGCAGCTCCTCCTGGTCGCTGTCGTGCTGCGGGACAAGCGTCTCTGGGTAGGTGCCTCTGCACGGCTCTGTGGGCTGGGTTGGTTTAGGGTGGGCTGGGGTGGCATGTGGAGCATCGTGGGGGCTGTGGGGTGGGCCCAGGAGCTGCTCCTGTCTCAGCCATCCGTGGTTCCTGCAGAGGATCCTGCAGAACTGGAGGTGTCCAAGGGCAGCGAGAGCCCAGCCGGAGGAGCAGAGCAGCGTGGACAGGGCGCAGGAATCGGCAGACACGTCCCCTGGCAGCTCCCAACGAAGTTCCATGAGCTACAGGAAGCATTTCCCAAGGTTCATCCAGAGCTCCCAGGACTCCCCGGCGCTCACTGAGGAGCAGCAGAGCGAGCTGAAGGCACAGCTGGCCCAGCAGCAATACAGAGGAGGGGACTGCAGGGTGCTCCAGACCGAGGTGCCAGTGGAGCTGCCGGGACTGCTAGGGGGCAGAGAGTCTCCCCAGTGCCTTGCAGTGGAGCTGCCAGGGCCGGACATGAATGAGGGGACAGAAGAAGCCAAACGTAAGAACACAGGACAGTGCAGCAGGGACTACATGACACTGCAACGCAGAAGATCCGTGCTGATGGCCAGGCTGCTCCCTAGACTAGTGGTGATTGTAAATCCCACAGTGTTGGAAAGCTGCAGCAGCAGCAGCAGCAGCTCCATGGAGGTGCAATACAGCAGCACCACCGCTGGATGGTTCCTGGGGAAGCTCCGTGCCTGGCTCCAGAGATCCCTGGAGGCCTCGCAGACACGCTTTGTTCAGCGCCGCCGGGGCTTCTGCATCCGTCTGAGGTCCCAGCGGTGGTGGCGGCGCTGGACCCAGAGGAGAAAAGGGCGTAGTAATCATGAGTAGTCAGGGAGGGGTGGAGGAATGGGGTGCTTCAGGATCCACCTGGACAGCCCAATCCCTGTCCCTCTCCAGATCCCCCTGTAGAGCCCTCCTGTCCTGTAGAAGACACACACTCTCACCCAACCTGTCCTCTGCAAACTGACTGAGGGTCCCCTCCTCTTCCCCACCCACCAATGCTGTAGCACCATCATAGAAAATCACCAGTTTTGTCAAACATGATTTTGCCTTTATAAAGCCACGTTGGCTGTTTCCAATCATCCCTTTGTTTTCCATATGCCTTATCATAGTTTTCAAGAGAATCTGCTCCACGATCTTGCTTGGTGCAGAGGTAACACTGACTGGTCTGTAGTTCCCTGGGTCTTCTGCTTTCCCCTTTTTAAAAATGGGAGTTATATTTCCCTTTTTCAAGTCATCAGGGACTTCATGTAACTGCCACAATTTTTCAGAAATGATGGATAGTGGCTTAGCAACTTTGTCTGCCAATTCCCTCAGGACCTATGGATGGATTTTGTTTGGTCCCATGGACTTGTTTACATTCAGGTTCCTTAGATGGTCTCAAACCTTATCCTCTCCTACAGGGGGCTCAGGGTCTTCATTCTCTCAACCCCTGCATTTGCCTTTCCTGACTTGGGTGGCGTGGCTGCAGCACTTGGTGTTGAAGACTGAGGCATAGAAGTTGTTGAGAACCTCAGCCTTCTCTTTGTCCAGGGTAGCCAGGTCTCTTGTTTCCTTCTGGTGAGGACCCACATTATCCCTCGTCTTGCTTGCAACATATCTATAGAATCCCTTCCTGTTATCCTTAATATCCTTGGCCAGACTCAATTCTAATGGGCCTTGGCTTCCCTAACCTTGTCCCTAGCTTCTCTTACAGTTTCCCTGTATTCCTCCCAAGCCACCAGTCCTCATTTCCACTTCCTGAAAGCTGCTTCTTTTGC